AAGACGTGGGCAAGGCAAGCTTGCTGCTAGTAATGTTATATACCCACTGGCAAAATCTAGGGAGGACTATGTTTGTGAAGTTCTCCAGAAACTTGCCTGAGAATGGTGCAATCATAATAATGCATGAGATAGGGAGTGCCATCTACAAAACACTATTCAAGTCAAATGCAGAATATAAGGGCTGATCTATATGCACTTTGTGCACTGATTTGACATCTGTAAGAAACTGATTTAGTTAGTCGTGTAATCTCCGTGTTCATGCAGATTCATTAGCTATATATGTTAATGTCAGTCTTGATATTGATTAACTGCATCTGCAGTAGTGCTGCACCAATTTAACTGTATTACTTTTTAAACCAATATGGCTCGCGCTCTCTGCTGATACTATATGTAGACCAACCCTCGGTGTACTACAAAAATAGACTTACAACATTCTCTTTCAGGTCGTGTTATCTGATGTTTTATTTATAACAGTAGCAAATATGTTTTCAGATGGAAATATGAATTTCAAATGGACTCTCTCTTCCTCAGAATAAAGTCCGGGCTGCAGGAGATGGTGGGACTGGCAAAGATTTGCTTTCGATGAGTGTTTGTTGGGATATTGTGGATTTTGTACTACTTAGGTGTAAGGAGAGATTGAGATGAAGGTGGGGTTCTCTCAAGGCACATTAGGCTTGAGGGAATGGCATTCCAGTAAGGGCTTACTGGAGTGCTCCAAGCTCAAGTCTGTACTAGACCAAGCAGGTCAGCTTAAGGCAGTGGCCTACCTAAGAAACCAGTTTGTACCCTAATTCTTACCAGAGTTGCTTGATCTTCCCCTTACTGTCCCTATCCAAGAGCAAAGTGCACAGCTTGTCTGCCCTCTGCACTCACCAGCCAGAGAGAGGAATGCAGCAAACTGCACTTTTCCCTTTGCTGACTGTTCCCCCTTCATCAGGGAGCAATGTTCCTGTATGAACTGGATGGGGGAGTCCAGCCTTCTCTAAAGGGTGCCTGAGGAGTGGGAGGCTCAATGCTGGAGCAGTCCTGGACAGGAAGGAGGGCACCTCCAGTCACGCTTTCATCTGCCTGGAGATTCTGTCTCATTTCTGTATAGTTTTAAGAGAAGTCACCCCTTTCCAGGCACATCTCATTGTCCTGGCACAACCAAACCCTTATGTTGCTATAAGTTCTGATAAGTTATGACTAGAGGAAGTTGTATACCGAATTTGGCAGTCCTAGCTCTTACTGCTTAGGAGAAGTTCTTGAACAAATACCCAGACAAACTCTCTCAATATGTACTAGATTTTAGCATTGAAACTTTAATCCTATGTTTGCAAATGTGTTCAAAAAGGCATTCATTTTGAAATTCTGTACCAATTTTTCTTTCTTAAGGAAGGAAGTGAATGGTCTGTTGTTTTATTTTCAATATAGATCACGTCTTAGTTCTATCAACAGCATAAGTGCTGTCATTCCACAGGGCCAGGGCCCAACAGGGTTGTAGATTCGCTTCAACACAGTGCTGATTAGGGATAATGTACTTTATTAAGCTCACTACTCCACTGCTACTACATTTCACAGGGTACACTCTAGCAAGCGAAAGCTCTAAAGAACAATGGTTAAAGGAGTAAAAGGCTCCTTGGAATGTTCACGTCCCTTCAGTTTACCTCCCACCCAGTTACCTCCCGTTCCGGTTACCTCCTACCCGGCCACAGTGGATGTGTCTGCAGCATGGGGCGAATCCTGGTCAGCCCTCAAGGTTGGGGCCCCAATTGAGACTCAGCTAGGGATGGGACTTTCTACACTAATTATATTACAGTTGTTTACCAGGAGTGCGCGTACCTGGCTCAATGCTATTCTTATCACTCTTATGGGCTGAGACTGAGGTCAAATTTATTTACTGCTTAGCAGTTTCCCAGCTCAAAGCATGGATCAATGGTGATAGAGCCCACATCTGCTGTTTGGGCTTGCAGTATCCCACACTACTCTAAGGTGGGTACAGCAGGGATGGAAACTTTCATCCTAAGCCTGCTAAGCTGCAGGACCCACATAGGACTTTTATGTGACAAGTGCTAAATAATTTAGCACATACATACATTATGCACAATTGAGTTCTCCAAAAGCTTTTTGGTTTTTTTGCACAAAACTTTAAAAATACACCTGTTCTACATTCACCTGAAATAGCATACAGCAGGCTACTGAGAATCAGTGCTCAGCCATGTTTCAATTCTCAGATGAGACTAGTTCACCAGTGATCCTTTCTAGCTGGGAGTCAGCCTCAATGTTTGCCAGCCTGGGGAAGCTTCTTAGGCCTTGCTGGCTATTCAGCTATAGAAGCTGCTTCTACTCCAAGGGTTGTTTTTTTCCCAAGCTAACTCCCCAGGGTAGTCTATTTCTTCAGAGTATCCTGTATACTGATGCGGAAACAGCCCATTTACTTCCTGTTGGCTGACTCATCCTAGGAGAAAATGGTCTGCATGGCCTGACCCAAAGGTGACATCTGCCTGCATGACAGTTCTGTCACTGCAGGAAGTAGAGGAGAGATTGTCAGCTTGAGGATTCCTCTATCTTTTATTCCTTCCCCAAAACCAATATAGAAACCAAAAAACAGACAGGCACATGCCTCTTTCCGGGTATGTCTACACTACAAAGTTAGTTCAAACTAACAGACGTTAGTTCAAACTAACTTTCATAGGCGCTACACTAGCGATCCGTTAGTTCGACCTTAATTCGAACTAACGGAGCGCTTAGTTCGAACTAGGAAATCCTCATTCCACGAGGATTTAGCCTAGTTCGAACTTACTAGTTCGAATTAAGGGCTGTGTCGCCCCTTAATTCGAACTAGTGGGAGGCTAGCCCTCCCCAGGTTTCCCTGGTGGCCACTCTGGCCAACACCAGGGAAACTTGTCTGCCCCCCTCCCGGCCCGGCCCCCTTAAAGGGGCACGGGCTGGCTACGGTGCCCGAGCCAGGTGCAAGCCTGCCAGCACCTAGCCAGCAGACCCTGCGCCTGGCACGGATCGAGCCAACCACCCGAT